TTCAGCAGGTCCAACACCAGCACAGCATCTCCCACCAGAGAAGAAAACCAGTGCAGCAACCAAGGCTGCCAACGGTCAAGAAAGAGACAAGAATGTTACACAGGCACCTGGTCTTGCAGGAGGGACGATGCTCTGGCATTCAGGAATTGACTCTGTGGTTGGACAGGAACAGGAGAGCAACAGTATGTAATCTTTACCCTTTTTTTTTTGTCCTGACAGGTAGACAAAGAGATGTGAAGTGGGCCAATGAGTGTAGTGCTTGGATCTCAGTATGCAGTAATGAAAACTATTTTGTTAATTACAAAATAGCTATGGATTTGATTCTAATAATCTACATAGCTATGCATATGTAGTGAAATCTGAAGGATCTTAGTGGATATATTTTTGGTAGAAGAGATGGCATATAAAGGTGTATAGCAAAGCAAAATTTTCGTGCTGGGGAAAAAAGAAGGGCTGGCTTGAGGAAATCAAGTCTAGAAGAACAGAAGACTAAGTTTCATTTAGCAAAAGGGTTATGGCTGAATTAAAGACTAACATAGCGTACCCTAGTCAGTGACAAAACATATGGGCCTAGAGCTTTGAAAAAGAGATGATTCCCAGCCTTTTAATAACTAAGTGGCAGGTCTGTTTCCTCCTTGGCTGTCTCATGAAGCTGCTGAATAAATGTTAGAAGTGGGATGGATTTTACTTTGAAACACTGCTCAGATCAAATTTGTATTTGCAACTTAAAATAGCTATGTAGTTTTTGGGCTGTAGTAAATCTTATCCCACGGTATAGTACTGTCTGACAGGAACCCATAGACAGCTACAACGGCTGCATTGCTACAACCAACCTCACCAGAAATAACAAAACTATTTTAGTTTTCATTGCTGCAGTTCAAAAACCTGGAGACATCTGAGCTTCTGACTTGGGTCTTGTGCTAGGTCATACAGTTGGAGTTTGTCACCACCTTCCTTGGCCTCTGCTTACTAGATTCATCCTTTAGCTAAAAATGCTTGAATTCTTGAAGTACTGGATCAACATTGTCCTGTTTTGGTTGAGAGCAATCGGTTTGAATGTTTGTTTTTAAGGCTGCAGCTTTTTTCAGAAATTAGGCAGATTCACATGAAATCAGGAATTCAATGTTGAATTCCTTCTACAAGAAACATTAGCATTGCAATACCATCTTGTCCCTATCTTGAGACAAGGATACCTCTTTTAGAACTGTGACTAGTGCCTTCCTTTTGGCACTTGAGACAAAGGGGAAAGAAGGTTACTGTGAGTAAGCAGAGCTATGGGCTTGTTATCCCAACAGGCAGTGGCGAGACAATGAGCTCTGTGTTGGACAATAGTCTCACTAACATCCAGTGGCTGGGGAAGATGAGATCTGATGGGCTAAGTCCCTGTTCTGTGAAGCAAGACACGGAGAAAGAGAACCAGATGCCTCTGCGGGAAAAAATCAAGGTAAGTAGGAGAAGACAACAGAGCATATGTGCTAAAACTTTTGATAGAGAAGTAATCCATGTGGACCAGAAGACTTGCGAGAACTAGGCATCACCACCTCTAACCCGAGTTTGGCCTTTACTGATTTGAATAGCAGAACCTGGAGGATCCAGGGGTGTTCCATGGCCCTTCTTGTCAACTTTGTGAGTGCTCATGTATCATTCCCTCTGTCTCTCAGACTGAAGAAGATTCTGCTGCTGCTGCTATTCCTACTGTCACCACCTCCTCCTCCTCATGGCAGGATTCAGTATCAGAACGACCTCCCTACTCCTACATGGCCATGATCCAGTTTGCCATCAACAGCACTGAGAAGAAGCGTATGACTCTGAAGGACATCTATACCTGGATTGAGGATCATTTCCCATATTTTAAACACGTGGCTAAGCCAGGTTGGAAGGTAACAAGCAGGCCCTCAAGTTGCCGTGTGCCACAGGGTGATATTAGCATAAGCCTTCTGGATGAAAATGAAAAGTTGTTCCCCAGCCTGCAAAGCAAGATGGAAATTAATTTAAATACCCCACCTCAAATACCCTCTCATTCCAGATGTTCCCTGTTCCACTTCTTGTATCCCCTTTCTCATTTCACTTAGGCAAGATGATGGGATGTTTGATCACTGGAGTAAGAGCAGAAATGTGAAGAGTAAATAGAGTAAGAGACTGATGACAGGGTTGGCTGGGTATGCAGTGAATATGAAGGTCCATGTTGTCTACACTGTAGAATGTAATCCCTCTGCCAGGGCAGTCATGTCTCAGGTAGGCCCTGCTGTGCTGATAATAAACTACTGCTTTTCAACCTCAGTCTCACTCCTTTCTCCCCAGAACTCCATCCGGCACAACCTGTCCCTTCATGATATGTTTGTCCGTGAGACATCTGCTAATGGTAAAATCTCGTTCTGGACTATTCACCCTGATGCAAACCGTTGCCTGACATTGGACCAGGTATTTAAGGTGAGTGCCTCATGCAGAGAAAATGGGACAGGCTATCCAGTTCCTAAATGTCACACTAGCCAGATGCACCTTATTTTAACAGGAAAGTTAAGCTGGTTTTACATCAGCCTTTTTGTAGAAGCTGAATTCAGTCACTTCTCTTGACAAACAGACAAGCTCTGTATTTGAAAGAAAAGGTGCTGTGGCTGTGCATATGAACTGGAGCTTCTGTGGGATGCATTTATTCTTCAGGTGGTGTGCCAAATGTAATAGTGAGCTTGTTCAACCTCTTTCCACGGGCCTGATTCAAATTCCTAGTGAGAATCTTTCCACTGAAGTCGACCAGAAGTTCCTATGCTGTTTGATTAGACAGTCATAGGATGGAATTGCCCTATCCCAGCTAGGTATTTTAGGAAGTACCATTTTGTGGGAAAAACAGAGCTTGTGAGTCTGGTATAGGTGTGTTTAGACTCTTCTGTGTTTTCAGCAGTGGGTGGGCAGATTGACTCTTGTTTGCTCAGATTATACAAGGTTAAAATGTCCCATTTGTTCCCCCTTTGGTTGATAACTTCATCTTATTTTTCTCCCTCTCAATGCCTTGCTGCCACCAGCCGCTGGACTTGGGGTCACCAACATCGCCTGAGCACTCTGAATCAGTAAGACTTACCCTCTGGCTCGGGGCTTGGGCTTGCATTCTCCTCTTGCCAGTCACTGAAGGAAAGGACAAGAGGCTCAGGGAGGGGGGACTGGGTCACTGCTGCACCTAGTCGTACAGCTCCATGCACACCCTTTTGACATCAGCCTTTTTGTAGAAGCTGGATTCAGTCACTTCTCTTGACAAACAGACAAGCTCTGTATTTGAAAGAAAAGGTGTATTTGAAAGAAAAGCCAAAGGCTAATTGCCTTCAGATGATATGATCTCTCTACAGCTGATAGAGCTGTACAGCTTTGAGCAACTAGAAGTCTGCTGCTGAAGTAGGCTGCAATGGGCATCAACAGGCTTCAGAGAACAAGCCCAGACAGATTTCTGGTAAAATCCTCATCTCCATGGCAGCAGTCCCAATCTGTTCTGGGGCTCAGATCCAGAGAGAATAGGATCTCTGTGCTCCTTTTTCATTTTGGAACCCAGCTGCATTGTGACTCTCAGAAGGATGAACCTGTTTGCTATCTCTTGCATTCAGCAGTTTTAACAACAACGGATTTGCAAGCAGCCAGTCAAACACTTTTTTGTCACTGCTACAGCCCTGGCCTTCTTTCCATCTGCTTAGACCTCTGATTCCTCTGTTGCCTCTGGTATTCCACTTGAACATCTATCTGGTCTATGGTTTGTATAGAGATCCAATATACAATAAAGCTACCCTGTTCACCTTTCCTCAGGCACTGAGAACACCGAAACCAGGTCACTTCTGCAGTGGGGTCTGCAGCCGGAGCAGCTCTGTCATGCCATCTCTTTTTCTACACAGCTTTTGGTTAGCAGCTGGCTTTGAGATGGCATGGCTGCAAAACAGCAAGTGGCAGAGATAGAGCCAGCGTGAGTGCTGGGTGCTAACAGCTGCTCTCTCTGTATTAGCGCAGCACAGGCTTCTGGATTTGCAGTTCTGAATGAGGCAGCAGAATAAAGATGGATTCTTCTCTTTAATGCTCTTTCTTTTCTCCTTCTCTTTCTTATTTGACAATGACTGCAGCAGCAAAAGCGACATCTTCCTGATCCCCAGAAGAACATGGGAAGCAACAGCAGCAGCAAAACTGAACCCCAGAATGCACGTGAGTGTCTACATCATCCTAGGCCAAAGAGAATCAGCCCCATAAATCTGGGGCACTCTCCGAGATTCCCTTATCAATAAAAGTAGAAATTGTCATCCAGGTTTGCCAGCTTTTAGGCTTCCTACTGTCAGGTTTGGAGCTGATGGCAGTATTGCTGTGTCAGAGAGGAGTTGATGGGGAGATGGAGGGGATTGGGTACTCAAAGGGAGTGAGAGCAGAGCTTTGCCCCAACTTGAGGGCTAGGATCTGTATGAAGGACTATTTCCTTGTTCATTAGGCCTGCTGGCTTGGGATTTGTAACCTCAAAATTAGCAGAGAAGGCAGGCGAGCCTGTCTCTGGTCGGATGTTTATTTTGGGGTATTTAGAAGGACTTCCTGTTAGGTGCCTGGGTTTCAAGAGGTAGTAGAGGAAGGGCGAGAGGCTAGCTAGGTCCATTCTCTTCCCTTCCAGGCCGAAAGATGAAGCCTTTGCTTCCTCGCATCAACTCCTACCTGGTTCCGATCCAGTTTCCTTTGAGTCAGCCTCTTGTCTTGCAGCCTTCTATGAAGGTTCCTCTATCCATGGCACAGGGAGCATCCCTCAACAGCTCAGAGACTTTCCGGAGCAATAAGCGTGTGCGCATTGCTCCAAAGGTTGGTTTCTTGTTTCTCGTTTTCTGAGGGTTTTTTTGTTTGGTTCTTTTTGGTGGGCGTGGTTTGTGGGTTTTGTTTGTGGGGTTTTTTTTCTTTTTTCTTTTCTATAGCTCTTGTCTTCTATGTGAACCCTGTTCTTCATATGGTTCCTTTGTGCCTCTTTACTACGTGCTCTGAAACTCTAAGCTCATATTAAGGAACTAGCTGGTGACAATCCTTGCTGTCCTTTTCTGTCTCTAGGGTGATTGTTACCTCCTAGTTGACTTGCTATAAGGATATTACTATAATTCACTAGAGGAGGGGGCTCTATGGATTGGTCAATACAATTTTTCTCTACTGCTTGGATGTGAAGAAATAAGAATGGGAGAAATGGCTGTGTCCTGCCCCTAAAACATTCAGACTTTTGATGGCTTTGAAGGGATATGTAACATAGGGAACTTCCTCTGAAAGAGCATTTATTTGCATGTAGTCTGTTCCCAGAGGTTTGCAGTACCTGCTGTTTGCTAATTCTGTGGAGTTCCCAGTTATTCTGGGCTCAAGCAAAACAGCTATTAAACAGGTCTTTCTCTTGGCATCTCACTGGCTGCTCTTGGATGCTTAGACATTGTAAAGCTTTAACTTCTTCCATCCTGTCTAACCATAATCCTGTTTTCCTTTGTATGCCTGCTGCTTTATGTTCTCTCCTGCTATGATTTATCTTTTCCCTGTGTGCTTTTTCTTTTGATAACCTTAATTTTTTTTTCTTTTTCCTTGGTTTCTGGGAAAGCTGTCCTCATTCATTTTGTTATTTCACATGTAGATAGTGTAAGGACAAGTCAAAGAGGCTACACTTTTCCAGAAATATTCAGCTCTTCTGCCTATACTCCTAGAAGTTCCTCATAGCAGAAGTGCTCTGAAGGGCATGACTTCCAGTCACTTAGCTCAAATCCTATGATCTGTAGGTGTCTCTGTATCAGCTTCACACAGAGATCAATCTCTATCTGTTGTTGTAGTTACTGCTTTCTGAAGATCCTCCTCTTACCTATTCTGCTGTCCTTAAGTGCCAGTCTTTCTTTTCTTCCTTCCACTATCATTTGGATGTTGGGTGGGTTAGATCCTTGCTTACTGACTGCATATCACTTGTGTTTCTTTGTAGATGTCATTCTCTACAGAAGAGTCATCCTCTTTACCCATGGCTGCTGTCAAGGAGGAGAGTCAATGTGATGAAGGTTTACTTTCCCCAACTCATTCCCTAAAGGAGAGTAGCTCCCAGCCTGCTGAGGAATCAGCTTCTTTCCCTGAGAGCATCTGTATAAAGGAGGAAGAAGGCTCTCAACTGGATGACTGGCTGTCCCCGTTTGCCTCAACCGTAACAGTAAAGGAAGAGCCAGGGTTGTTCCTCCCAGTCTCATCCACAAAGGAGAAGAAACAATTCACCATACTGAAGTCACCATCTAAGGGTGTTTCTGACACGTTAGTTATAAAGAGGAGGGAAAGGCGGGAAATGGGCAGATCCAGAAGGAAACAACGCCTAGCGCTGCCTTGCTCAGAAGAGCCTGTCCTTGTTTTGCCAGAAAGCAATGGCTTTGACCCTTTCCGGTTAGGGGCAGACCCCCCCTTCCTGCAGGAAAGCCAGCCTCTTGAGAATGTATCACAGCTCAGCTGCTCGCAGGGGGAAGAGGGGCCCTTTAAAACACCAGTCAAGGAGATGTTCAGCAAATTGCCAGTTTCCTCCACTCCCAGCAAAGTCTCAGCAACTACTACCCCCCCGCTAGGGGGCCTTGACCCCTGGAAGTCTGTATCCTCAGCCAAGGGAAGTCACGAGCTGGACTTCAGTCCAGTGAGAACCCTTCAGTTGCCATTCACACCCCTCCAGGAGAACCAGGACTTGCTGGGTTTTAACAGCACACCCCTTAAAAACCCCCTTTTTGAGTCCCCTCGGGAACTGCTCAATACAGAATCCAGTGACATGGTGCATGTCCCCCTCACAAGCTCTCCAGCTTTTATTCATGAGTCTACTAAGCAATCATCTGCTGAACTGCCAGCCTCTGGCTTTACTGAAAACCGGTCACTCATGGAGGGCCTGATCCTGGACACCATGAATGACAGTCTGAGCAAAATCCTTCTGGATATCAGCTTTCCTGGTCTTGAGGATGAAAACTTAGGAACGGACATCAGTTGGTCTCAGCTCATACCTGAACTGAAGTAAACTGGCCTGAGGGCTGAATTTGGCTTGTTCTGGTATTACAGAAAGCACTCGACTTTTCTGAGATCTGTTCACATAGTCTAAGAAGACAGACTGCTTTTGACTAATTCCCACATCCATGGGAACAGAGGGCATTATTGACTCCTGCTAAGCTGGGAGACAGGCCCATTGGCTGCTATGAGCTCCCTTTATAAGCTGCAATAGACTATTTATTTGGAACAAGATAGAACCTCTCTAACCTTGTACTAGAGATGGGAGTCCCTGGAGAGAGGTTATCGAGAGAACGTCTAGGTAGACCCTGAATGGCATTTGCTATTCAAGGTATCGGAGGAAATTGATGCACTCCTCAGTTATGTACAGTAGGAAAGAGCCTGGGAACCTCCTCCTAGCTCTGTCCTTACTTTCCTTTACTTTGTTCTCCTATTACTTAGTATCTTCTGTATAGTTTTAATGGCTGTAAATACTGTACATTCCTTAAATTAGCCCTTAATTATAATAATAATTTTATTCTTGTAGGGTTATGGGAATATTTGGGCTGGTAAGGGGTTTGACTTAGAGTGTTGTCCATATGTTCCACATCTCCTGTATTCTTCTACCCTAGATGAGAGCCCAAAATACTTTTTTTTTTTTTTTTCTTTGACTTCAGAAACACATTGGTCTAGGCTGTTCTAAAGGTTGCTGGAGCAAAGATCTGAAAAATCACCTATATGTGACTTAAGTCAAACTGAAACAGGTTATCTGGATTGCAGCATAAAATCTTGGTTTGGCTTCCTTTTCCCAGGCTGAATGAAGAAGAGCTTGGATCAAGCTGTACAGCTCTTCTGGTTCCAGAGTCCTATTATTATGTACTTAGAGGACTAGGTAGAGTCACTGTTGCAGTAAGATGGACTTCTGTTGAATGGTTAAAGCTGCCGTCATTACAATCATCAGTTGAAAATGTAAAAAAGAACCTATAAAGCAAATGCTGGTATTTCCATTGAAAAGTGACCTCTGGAAACACAAGGTATGTTTCTCTTGGTGCAATAGGACAACTCATCCCAATTCTGTAGAACTTACGTCAAAAGAGGAAATTGCCATGGAAAAGACCTGATCCTTCTGCTTACAGACAAATGATGGCTCATGTATCTACATACTCAATAAAACTTCTGTGGGAACACAGCCGAGTATTGTTTTTACTGCTTTCACTCTTAGCAGCGTGCTCAGGCTGGGCCATAGCACGAACAACTGATTTTTTGCTTGTCGAATGTGTGTATTTTCTGTGATCACTAAGTGATCCGTAGGATGTTTTCACTGTTCCTCAGGCCATGTTGGCCATACCCCATTAGATTTGGTTGCTCAACTCCTTGCTTCCTATAATATACTTTTTCCTGCTGTTTGTGGGTAAATCCTGACTTTACAAGTCAGAAACATACTTAGTCTAAGACATCAGAACACCACCAGCAGACTAGTTTCTGTATTTTGTAAATGCAAAACAAGCCTCACTCAAAAATCTGTATTTCTGCCTTCCCCTATAAACACAAACCAGATTTAGACGTGTGTGGTGTTCAGAATTGCAGGTCTCTCGTGTGCTTGTTAGAGGTTATTTGCCCTCTGAAGGTGTTTCAAGCACTTTGTGTTGATTATTATTATTTCAGTTTTTCTGGGGAGGAATATTGGACTCCATGATCTGCATTTCTGTCTGCCTAGCACAAATGACTGCTCAGCTTGAGGCCAACAGTGAAAAATGTTTTACTAGGCTGCCATGTGAATTTCAGACCAGAAGATTTTTGTCAGTGATTAGAGGTTGAAGTTCCATCACTTCTGATTGAGTCTCAGGGTTTCCTTGCCTCTAAACAGGAAATAAGAAAGGACTAAGAACTGTTGGGTGCTAGTAGCCTCTGAAGAGTATTTTGTTTAGGATTGATTTGCCAATACCACCTGTGAGAGCAGGTGGTCTTGATTCCTTCTTCTCTGCACGTCCTCTAGTAAGGAGTTCGTGTTCTCCAGCCTGGATAGAAATCATCATTCTCTGATCAGGAAATCATAACAGACTGCTGTGAAAACTGATCAAAGCTACACAGCACATCTGTTTTCCGGGAGGAGAGCTGACAGGAAAGCCATAAACCTCGATCTAGGCCCAGGGGGAAGAAGAGATGCAGACAGAAGGCAAGGTCGCGGTCATGAGGCTGCAGAAGAGGCCCACTTTGTGGTTTGTGGCACACTTTCTGCTAGTACATGTCACACAGCTGTCAACACTCTACTTGGGTTTCTCAAGACATCCTAACTCCCTTTCACCTCACTTCTCGCTCCTGAGAGGATGCGTGCACACAACTGACATCCAAGAGCCAGCTAACTAAGGATCATGTCTCCAGCAAATTCTGAAATGCTCTTGTCCTTGGGATGATGTGATGGTGTCAATTTCAGGTGGGTGATCCCTTGCTGTCCCTGTCAGCTGAGCTCCTTTGATGGCCACCTCACATTAGCTTTTGAACATATTTTTGAACTAGGGGAAACTAGTGCCAAAGACTAGTTTCCCCTCCTACTAGTGGGAAACTAGTTTCCCCCTTCCAGTGGGAGCCCTGCTAGAGGGCAGCTATATCAAAAAAGGTGGGGGGAACAACAGAAAAAAATCCAGTTAAGCAGTCCTACCTACTGCTCCCACAGCAGATTTCCCACTGTTTTGCCCAACCTACTTCAAAGCCCCAGTTGGTGAGGATTTCATCACAACTCTCAGGAAGACTACTTTAGTTCTCTCCATCTGTAAGTGTTTGCCTGATATTCTGCCTGGATCCTTTCCTTAATTTCACCCTGTTACATTTACCACTGTAAAGCTGTACAAAAAGCTATAAAGCCATCACACCAGCGTCTGAGTGACTGCAGCCAGCTTGTTGAAAACTAAGTCTTGGCTTCTCCTTCTGTTCTTTCCTTGCTGGTATTTACATGTCACTATTTGTGGGTATGAGTTGTTGCGGCATGTAAACTACTATGAAAAGAAGTTGTTCAAGTGTGGAAGTAATGGATATTTGCATCTTTAGCAGTAAGAAGTTTCACATCTCTCTTGTCACAAAGGGAAAAGGACACTTGCTCTTAATATCCCAGGCCTAGCCCAGAGAAGATCTGCAAGATTAAATGTGATCAGGTGTTGGAAGGCAGATAAGCATGGCATGAGGCAGAGAAGTGGGGAGCTGCACTTCTAATTGCTCAGCAAAGCAGCTGTTTGGAGGATGTCGGATTAAATTGGCGGAGTTTGTTGCTGGAGGTCATTGCTTAGGTATCCTATATTTGAGCAACTGGACTGTTCAAGGGTGCCATTGCTCAGGAGTGAAGTGACAGACAAGTAAGACAGCTGGAACTCAACCATTTTGTACTTTCGGGCAAGTGCTAGAGGCATATGCGAGGTCATGGTGGGAACAGTGGAAGTGGGGCTACAGGGTAGGAGTATTATGTTTTGAAAATGTTTGTCATGAACCAAAGGCTAGAACAACAAGATGATGGAGCTGCCAGGCAGAAGTAAAACATTGTGTGAGAAACAAAACAGAAGGCATTATTTTGGACCATGGGGAGCCTATTACTGAACTTGAGGTACATGGGCAGAGCAGAGACAGAAATTCTTCTGCAGTCAGGTTGGATGTGTAGTAGAGAACTTCTTGAGCACAAGCCCATCATCCTCTCTGTTATGCAAAAGCATACATTCAGTGCTCAGAGCTGAGCACTGGTATCGCTGTCAGCCTCTGTTCTGTATCATCTTTGGACAGATACAGCCTCCAAACAGCAAGGACCAGCCTGCAATCACCCTGTGTTCAGCTCAACGCAGTTGAACCTGCGCTGCAGGACTGCTGGGCCTGGTCTTGCCCCAGTCCTTATCCCCATTATCAGAAGACAGCATTGAGACTTACTTTGAGGAAGAACAGTTGCCCTCTGTCAGGAGCTGGTGAAAAAATACCAGAAGATCACACCAGACACAGACCAGAAGACAATAGGGCACTGCAATAAGGCACAGCAACAGCAGCCTGTATAGGAGTAGAGCATACATTGAAGTTTAGGGAGTTTGGGGCACTGTATACAGGGGACTTAGACAGGTGGAAGCATATAGGTAATTGCGTCATGGGATAGAAAGCGCCTCCCCCCAGCCTTTGGCACAGACAGAACAGGTAACACAGCAGCATTGCCCAAGAAGAAAGATTAATGATAACTTTCTCCAGAAGAGACGTGCTCCTGTTATGCCTCGGCTTTAAAACAGCACAGCTCTTGGGCAACACTACAACAGCAGCAGCATTTCCATAGGAAAAAGCCATGCTTTTTGGCAGTGTCTCCCTCTGCAACCCTTTTTAGTGAGTAACTGTACATTTTGAAATCAGAGGTTCTCTGGAAATTGTACAGGACCACCTACCCCCCTTTTCCTGCTTGTGAGCAGGCGGAGGTGCAGTGCTTACAACCAGCCCCAACCAAAAGAATTCCGATGTCCTCCCTGCAGTAGCTCCACCACATACCTCTATCCTTACTGCTGATCTGGGGTGCTCACTTGAAGCTTTAGTCTGGCTTGGGAATAAGATGGGAGATGTCAAGTCACACTTGCTCAGCAAGTGACAGCAATGAAGCAGTTTGACAGTGTTGTCAAAAAGAGTGTCTCTCAAAAGAGATCTATGGTTGGAACCAGGTAAAAGGCTTGGCTGCCACATGGCAGTAATAGCAGGAGGGAAAAAGAAGTATTTTGTAAGGAAGAATGGGGAACATGGGTAAGGCTTTGTGAATAAAGATCTTACTTCAGGCGTTTGGGATAGGGTGTCAGGGCAGCATCAGGTTGGCAATTCACAGGAAACAGGAGGTCTGTGTAGCATAGGGAGTTGTAACCAGGCAAAGAATTGAAGAGTTGTATGTTCGAGAGTAGAGCAATGAAGTAGGCTCAGAACAGAGATGTATACAGAGGGAGAAAGGAGGCCAGAAGGCAGGTATCACAGGCCCCTCTGTAGGCTCAGTATTTGGATTATAGTGTAGAGGTGTGATCTTGCAAGATGGTGGATGCCTCTGTCCATCCTCCTTCAGTAAGAGCAGAGCTATTCTTCTTGTCTTCTCATGAGCCTGTTGTAGCTCAAGAG